GAGGATTTAAGAGAAACCTGCTCTTGACTGCTTGCCAAGGTTTTATAGATACGTAAAGGAGAGAGAGGTTGCAAGATGAGAATTATTTATTTCTCCTGCAGAAAAAATGCTGAAAACTAGAAATGAAAGCAATTAAATACAAATCCTATGTTGAAGGTAGTGTAATTGAGAACATTTTTCCTTTTTTTTTATTTTCAGCAAAGAGATCCTTCATCAAGATTAAGGTCTTGCAGCGTAACAGATGCAGTTGCTGAACAGTCTCAATTATCACTGGTAAACAAAAGCTAATTTTTATCTATCTTCTATATTCTGGTTTTAAAAACTCTGCTTCTGAATGGTACCTTTTCCTGTGGTGATGGATTTAGCTGTTTATCATTTAACTTGTACAATATACGTATCCCAAACTGTAGCTGATACCAAATTAACATCACAATGCACAGAACCACATAGTAGTGAAATCATACTCATTTTTACAAAAGATTTAAGAAAGATGATTAATCCAGTGGATGAAATCCTACTGCATTGAAGTGAGTGGGAATTTTGCATCTAATTCTGTCTATTTTTACGTTTGTCAGATCTAAAATTAGTATAACTGAAGGAATCTTCCCTAATCTTTTTTTTTTAATGTTTTTTAAAAGTAAGGTTTGTTATGGAATTTCTTTTAGAAACATGATCCCTATCCTATTAGTAAGGTGACCATATTACTTCTGAGGAAATCCGGGACACTGCCCCCCTTCCTCTCTCACATCAGCAGCACTGCTGTAGGCAGTGGCATTCTACCATGGTGCCTGCCACCCACCTGACCTGGCATACCATGCCACTCTGCCTCCCCATTAGACTGTACCCCATACCTCTGCGATTCTGGGACTTCGGTTTTAATTTTCCCCACCCAGCAGGGACTGGCATATAAAATCCAGGACAGTCCCAGTCAAACCAGGACATATGATCACCCTACCTATTATGAACCATAACAACTACAGCAACACAAGGACTCTTTAAAAATAAATTAATGTTGGCATCAAGATAGTTATGCTTAAGTATTCATGTAATTGCATAACTATTTAGAGTGGGGCAAAATCAGTGGATTTTTTTTCTTGAAATTTGAAAGGTGAGGATATATTTTGAAACAAGTTTACACTAGGGCTGTGCAAAGCTTCGGGTGCAGATTCAATTTGGAGGAGATTCGACCCGATTCGGTGGCTGAATCTCCAAATCCGAAACGAATCGGGGGACTAGGAAAAAGGTCCAAATCGATTCAAAGCTCTCCGAATCTTTGGAATAGATTATTGAATAGCTAAATCATTGAATAGCTTCAATGATTTGAGCAGTCCCCGCACACTGCAGCAGGGAGCTGGAGCCAGACTCCATGCCAGTAAGTAGGGGGCGGGGGAGAAGGCACTGGAGGAGCAGGGAGGGGCTATGGGGGGGGCCCTGCCAGGCCCCATCCCCTGCCTGCTCCCCTAGCCCCTCTCGCCCCCCACCCACTCCTACAGCCCCCTCCCTTTTCCTTAAGGAAAAGCCCCTACTCACCGGGTGCTGCCGGGCAGTGGGGGTGATCCCTGCTGCCCCCCACTGCCCCATGCTGCATAGGGGGGCTCTTCCATGAGCCCCCTTACCTCCCCACTCCCCAAGCCCCCCCATGGCTGCCCTGCCCACCTCAGCGCTAAGAAAAAAAACCCCAAAATGCCTCCCCCCTGCCCCCCCAGACTCACTGGCTCCTGCAGCAGTCTCAGGGCTTCAGGGGG